GTCCAAAACTTATTTTGCAAGTGTATAATTTTTATCACAAAGTGAATAAAGCTCTTTAGCTATTTGAACTAAATTCAGATTAACAAGGAATGCAGCTGTACTATCTGATTACATTACCCAAGGAAATTGTCTTGTCAGTGTGATAGGACTTTATTCTGCTCGGCTATCTTTCAATGCTGACAGCATGTCTTCATGAATATGTATAAAATGGAAGGAAACCTATTTTACAAAAGGTTATTTAAATTAAACCAGTGCATACCAAAGGATTTAGACAAATTATCCTGTGCCCAATTATGCAAGGATTTTGGACTAGAATGCCATATCACGTCAATTTGTGTGACAACTTTGAGTGTAATTTGTAAGAGTTACAGAATATCTTTACACTGTCTGAGATAATCCTTCTGTACCTCCCCTTCCAGCTACCCCCACCCAAGACACAACATCCTGGATCCATTGCAGGTATAGATGTTGGGATGCTAACTCACAGAAAAATCATTTAACGTCTATTTTTATAAAAGTGAACAATGCCATTTTGGATAGTCTGTGGATGTCATAGACGGTAGTTATGTAATGAAAGCTTTGGACATTTTTAAACATTTACACATGCAAGGCTTCAGTGTTTAGCCATGCAGGGACATTTGCTACTTAAGGGTAGAGCATGTATTGACATTTACTTTGTGTTAGACATTGTGTGCTTTAGGTTGGTTCATATTATTATATAAAATACTTTTTTAAAAACCCCTGTGTGTCCTCTCTCTTCTGTCTGCTTTTTCTTTTTTCCTTCATTCTCTGTAACATTCTTTACATGCTCTGGAACATGCTCTACGCTTTCCTGCCACAGACCCTGCAACACGCTCTTCACTCTGCCAAAAACATTCTCCTTTCTGAATGAAACATCATTCTTCTGATGTCTGTAACAGCAGAAGATAGTTTTGAGGTTACTTAGGACAAAAGTCTCTATATATGATTTAACATACACAGTTTTTCTACTACTTTTTCCTTGTCAGAACCTATATTTTAATCTTGGACTTAAAATATTCTTTTTAATGTTCACAGATTCCTAAAATTCTGTATTTTTCTTCACTCTGTGGAAGGGAAATGACTCTCTTATTACTATTCATGTCTAATAATGTATTACTTAAGATGCATATTCAATTTGAAAAATGTTTCTTTTGTGTTTACAATTTGTAGTTTTAACAGATTATTTTTTCCTCACTATTGTATGGCTGTCTGTATATTATTTTTAAGCTGGCCAAAGCTTAGGTCAGATACAATAAATTCAGCGAGATCAGTGACTGAGTTTGTTTTTCCTTCAATAGTGCAATCAATAGCATAGTGCACTTAATAGATACACTACTTAGTGACCCATTATTCATTTATTCATTCATTTACCAAGCACCTCTTATATGCCAGACACTTTGCTAGGTGCTAAGGATACAATGGATAAGGAAAAAAATGCTCAAACATGGTCTCTACTCTTACAGACTTTTACAGAATAGTCATGTGGGGAGAGAGACATAGAATAATAATTGCATGACACAAATGAGTGTGGAAAGAGTAATGGGTGAGAGGAGTTATTAAGGACCTCTTTACATGGGTGGTCACAGAAGTCTTTCCTAAAGGAGTAATCACAGTTCCAGGGCTTGAAAAGTGAGAAAAAAGTCGCAGAGAAGATGGGGGTGGGGGAGAATGTTTTTGGCAGAGTAAAGAGCATGTTGAAGGGTCTATGGCAGGAAAGGGTAGAGCATGTTCCAGACACTAGAAGAAGCCTGGGTGGGTGGAGGGAAAAGCATGAGAAGCCTCTGCAGAGCAGAGAGTACTCATATCAGGGGAGGCCTTTTAGGCACATTAAGGAAGTTGAGGCCAAGTGTGGTGGCTCACACCTGTAATCCCAGCACTTTGGGAGGCTGAGGTGAGAAGATCTCTTGAGCCCAGAATTTTGAGACCATTCTGGGCAACATAGTGAGATCTTGTCTCTACTAAAAATAAAACTAAAAAATTTACTGGGCCTGGTGGTGCGTGTCTATAGTCCCAGATACTCGGGAGGCTGAAGTGGGAAGATCGCTTGAGCCCAGGAGATCAAGGCTGTGGTGAGCCATGTTTGTGCCACTGTACTCCAGCCTGGGCAATAGAGTGACACCCAAACTGCCAAAATGTTTTCCAGAGTGGCTGTACCCTTTTGCATTCCCACCAGCAATGTATGAGGGATCCACTTATTCTAATCCTCACCAGCAATTAGTAGTGCTACTATTTTTTATTTTAATCATTTGGATTGGTAATTGGTGATATCTCATTGTGGTCTTACTTTGCATTTCCCTAATGGCTGATACTTTCATGTGTTAATTTGCTATCTGTATGTAATCAGAATGAAATGTTTCTTCATATCTTTTGCCCATTTTCTAACTAGATTATTTGATGTTTTTAATACTGTGTTCTGAGAATTTTTTTATATATTCTAGCTACAAGTTCTTTGTCAGATATAGGTTTGCAAACATTTTTCTCTCTACAGCTTGTTTTCATCCTCCTAATAAGGTCTTTCACAGAGCAATAGTTTTAATTCTAATGAAGTTTAATTTATAAATTTTTGTCT